GTTAGAATCCTTCTGAATAACAAGCACCTCTTATTCTCCTTGCTACCCCTCCTCCCTAAAGGCCTCACGAGTGGCTTTAGACGTACAAAAAGGCAGTGCTCTACGTAAATAAATACATTTAAAGCTTGAGAGACTAAACTTGTTTTTTTCTTTTTCTGAGATACCGGGCTGGCTTCAGCTAATTGCCCCTCATTCTTTTCCTTCACCTCATGCAGGAAGTCCTGAAGCCCTGACTGCTGTTTCCCTGCCGCTTTAATGATATATTTACAGCCTGGCCTCATGTCACATACTATAGCCTCTCCTCACTTCCCAACCGAGCAAACAGATTGTCATTAGAATACGTGCCCCTTCTCGTTGCACTTTCCTGACCAAGTTCTTTACTCAGTGACACTATTTCAGCCCCCTTAAGATCAATAGGGATGCACCGGTGCACAAGTGGAGGAGTATTTGGTTTTTCTTGTCCAGCATTCCAGCTTTTGCAGTGCCAGAGTAAACCTGAAATCTATGGTCGTTAGCAATTTTTCTTTTAAATGCAACAAAGAAGGTTTCCACTGTTTTTACATCCGAAAAATATCTTTTCCTATGGAAACTTCCCATGACCTGTGAAGAGAACCACCAGTACAAGGGCCATGTAAATGATTCCCTATTTTGGAGATGTAAGAGAGGGAAAAGACCTATTATTTTCATCTCTTCTGTTGTGTATTTTTCAACTTACTGTACAGAAATTGCTTCGTTTCAGTTTTTTCCTTTGAAATTTCAGCGTTGTTATTGTATGGTCGCTACTAAGAGGAATATACAGTGTTCTGTTAGCAATGTACTTATTTAACTCAAATTGTTTTAATGCAGGTTTCAGGAGGGATGGGGCGGTCTCTTGTTTAAAACAAATTGAAGACTTTTTTTTTCTGTCTCCAGTTTGAATTTAAGTGTTCATGAAGAGGAGAGTAAAATATCAAGTCAGAATTTTCTAAGGGCTTAATCCAAAGCCCCAGGCTAAGTAAGTAAATTTGATTTCACATTGGGTGTGTCTAGACTACATGGCTCCGTCAACGGAACCATGTAGATGAGTGTACTCGGCAAAGGGAAATGAAGCGGCGATTTAAATAATCGCTGCTTCATTTACATCAAAATGGCCACCACGCTGTGCCGATCAGCTGATTGTCGGCACAGCACGGTAGTCTAGACGGGGATCAGCCGACCCCAAATCCTTTGGTCATCAGACCCTGTAAACCTTGTTTCACGAGGCAGAAAGGATCTGACGACAAAAGGATTTGGGGTCGGCTGATCCCCGTCTAGTCTACCGCGCTGTGCTAACAATCAGCTGATCGGCACAGCGTGGTGGCCATTTTGATGTAAATGAAGCAGCGATTATTTAAATCACCGCTTCATTTCCCTTTGCCGAGTACACTCATCTACATGGCTCCATCGTCGGAGCCATGTACTCTAGATACACCCATTGTGTTTGACAAGAGCATTCACAGTATATATGAAGCTTTATCATTGAAGACCCATAGTATGAGGTGAAAAAAAAAATCAAAGGGATACAGAAATCCACCTATTCATATTTTTATAAATCTTTTAAAAATATTTTGCATGCTTGGATTCATATTTTGTATGCTTGGATTCATATTTTAATGGTCTTTTTCTCAGCAACATGATGCAATCTTGGCCAAGAAGAAATTCCTCATAAACATGTCATGGACTAAACTTAATAGATTAGATAGTTTTCCAATAGGCTACATATATGTTCTATTTTGGTTTGATAATCTCTTGTAATCATCTGATGTCTCGAGCAGCAATGTATATTTCACAGTAAATTTTGTACACTGGTGCAGCCTGTGTAATTCTGGTGTGTAACATTTCTCATGGCGGGGGTGGAGGGGAAGCAACTGGGACAAACTTTATCCCCCCTTCCCTCAAATTCAAGGTTTCGGGGGTTTGTACGGGGTAAGTTATTGAAACAGGATCGATTTAATGTCAGAACAATGGGTTTATTACAGCTTTTTTTTTCATTACGGTTATATTAAACTATAGTTAAATGTTTAGGAGGCCACTAAAGGTGGAGCTAACAGGCAATGACCAATAAAGAAACATCTACGTGAAAGGCATATTCTTTCTTAGTATCTTACCGGCACCAAAAAGGATATTTTAAATATATTTTGTAGTAACAAACTATACAAGTTTATGACAAACAGGAAGTTTTAAAAGCCCAGACTAGCAATAACAGACTGTTATCATGTACCTAATGCTGCAAAGTGAAATGTAGTTAAGATGGGATATTTTTAAGATATCCAGGGTCTAAATTTCCTTTAGACAACGACAAGTTTATTCTGCCAGAGCATTTAAAGGGAGCTTCATGTAAATGAGAATAAAAGATTTTTCAGCCTGATCCTGAGCTCACATATATTAACGTGACCCAAGAGGAAATCTAGGGTGTAAAATGAGAGAAGAATCATGTTCCTTATTAGGAGGCTACAGCAGAGCTAATTATTTACAACTGATGATTTATCTAAAAAGCCTCCTTTTCTGCATACAGAATATCTACAAGCAGATCATTCATTTCCTTTAATTTTTTCATTCTGATACTATAACTCCATTAAGTTTTTGAAAACTGCTTTATCC